GCTCCGTTGTGTAGCGAGCACGTAGTGCACACTTGTTCAACGGACGGAGAGCTGTTCCGGCAGCGGATAGGGAAGAAGTCACATGTCCATGCCACGCAACAATGACTACAAAGCCGCTTAGAAGGTTGTGCTCCGTTCCAGCAGCCGGCGCGTCGCCCTGGCCATGTGCCCCATCGTTGGGGTGGCAACTCTGCTCGTTGTCTAAATCTGTCTGCTAAAAATGTCAATAGCGCTTATTAGGCAAAAGTTCAATGCGCTTCAAGCGGGCATTACTCGACGCAACAGTCTAAATGGCAACTGAGCATCTTCTACAGGCACTTGGCAGAGGTGTCATAAGTGGGCGCCCAAGTGTGTGGAAGCTCTGCCGAAGCGCTTTCAAGTCCGCTTAATGCCAGAGAAGAAGTCAGAAGACCTGCATAGGTATCTAAATGAGATGTAAGCATCACAGGTGTTGACCTGCTAAGTATTGAGACAACAGAGCGTTCATTTAGTTAATTCTGCATGTTTATTATTTATTTTAACAAATCAACGTGGGACAAATGGCTCTTAACGAGCTGCAAAGACTAACCAGGTGGCAACACTCCCAGGCCGCCACAGCTGTTGAAAAGAAACGTGCGAGCTGTGTTGGAAAGCGTGCTAATAATTGCTTTAAATTTGTAAATACGAAATGCCTTTAGTCAATTTAAATATTGTTTTTTATTATTTTTTTTTTTAATCCTTTTTAAAAATAAATTAATTTTAAATCAAAATTCAACATGTCTGATCGCTGAAACTAATGGCTTATATAGGGATATATTCAATTTCACCCAATTTCCTTTGTGATTTTCCTCAACAAATTTATTACGGGCACCGTTATACGATAACGATAAGTGAAGTAAGAAAATGAAAGAGTCTTAAAAAATAATAATAATTAGCAATTGCCAACTATACTAGATGATATTGATAAATGATACAAAAAAATCACTGCAGCTTCTACAAATGTACTGAATACTGACTCAAACAATGAAGCACTTAAATTTTGTTAAATAAAATGTTATCGGGGACATTGCTGCGGTACGTTTTATTTTTTCGGCGTTCAACGCTGCGTATGATTAATCACTTGGCTAATGCACGCGGCACGGCGCTTAGTGGCAGGGCTGCTGTATGACATTAAAGCCAAAGTATCAGACGCACTTAATTTAAAATGCATGTTAAAATGTCATTAAATTGAAGCAGGAAGTCAGCTGCTTAGCTACTTACTACACACACATACACACGAGCTGCTTGAAAGCCAGAGAAGAGACTTCATAAAAGGTTTGTTTTATGCCCGAGATTCTCGCATTATTGGCTCGGGCGTTTATTGAACTCTGCCCAGCGAGGCGTAGTCGCTGTCATATTTTAATATGAATATTACCAAAAAAATAAAACAATGCAAATTGTGGCTGATGCCAGTTACAGATAGTCTAATTACGGTGCAGGGGTCACATATGCACAAATCTGACTAATCAGACTCAGCTGACTTTAGCCACTTAAAATCTCTAAATTGAGTTTCGAGCTATTTCAAATATTACTCATGCAACCGCTGGCAGCAAACGCTTGCAAATGCCTGCAACAAAGCAATAGTGACACACACACACACACACACAACCACGCACGCAACATTGAGCGGCTGCAAATTGAAATCCACTGATGATCTACGCATGGCCGTCTGCGGCAGCCTTGACCTGGTTCTTGAAAACTGACAACAAGCAACAACAACGACTCCAGCCACATGCCACACAGCACTCAGCACACAGATTGCAGCCAAGTCTGGCAGAGACAGCGACTAGTTTGTTGCATTCAACTGCTGCAGCTGTTTGGTTAACCACCTAACCGGTTTGCCGTTGCCTGCATACCCTGTACACTTTTCGATTTTCAAACAAGGTAGTGGACGCTAAAGCCATAAAAAAACGAGAGTCTATCAAATCAAACTAGAATGGAAATGGAGAGTCTAAATCGAAAAAAAATGATTTGTAGCCCGCTAAATCGAAAATCGCCTTAAATCGTAAGAAATTCAAAAAAATTTTAAAAAATTACATTCTCAATAATTTTCTGTGTAACTAAAAAAAAAAAAAAAAATAATAAGATCCCTTTGCCATTTTGAATTATCGGGACTTGACTGATCTCCCCACTTTCTGTTTAAGTTGTTATAAGAAAAAACCGTTTTTTTTTTTATTTTTAATTCCTGCGAATTCACTAAACTGCCCTCTTTTGTAATTTTTTCGTAAACATATGCTTATAGCATAATAATTCTATATTTTAATTTCGATATTCAATAAAAAACAAGTAATATCTCAGTTATTTATTCATTACAGCGTACATCCTAGTCGCGCATACCCCCCATGCTCCGCTGCAATCTCACTTATTTCACACTGTTTATGGCAATTCGTTTGATGTCGTTTACTTAAGAGACGCCAGCAGCAACAGCATCGATTTGTACATTTTTGGCGGTCAAATTTGTTGGACGTGCCACCAGTGCACTGGCTAAAATTGGGGGCGTGGCAGAGAGGGAAGACAAGTAGTCACTAGCGTAACTCGATCTGATAATGATAAAAATTATATAACTTGTAAATGTTTAATAAGCTAAAATTATGAAACAAATACTGTAAAAAACTTAAGATTATTGAAGTATGGCTGGATAATGTATTGAAAAGCCCAAACTATAAAATAAATATTAGGCCAAACAGTGTTTTATATATGCAATATATTCAGCACATTATTATATATTATTTTATTTTATTTATTTACCATCCGGTTATTTATAGTTATAGTTTAAAGATTTGCTTATTGTTTTGTACAAGACAGATTGCAAATAAAATATATATATATTTAAAAATATATATTTTTGTATAT